ATGCTTGGGAAGTTTTGTGACTTGACTTCTGTGAACAGGTTTTTTATGTCATTTGCACTCTCTTTTGCTTTTTCACTGACTCTGATCAATCTTATGTTATTCCTCTTTGCATCATCTAGCAGCTGTTGGATTGCTTTTTCTTGGTCTGTTGCTGTTTTTAAGAAATCTTTCTTTTCACGATTGCTAAGCACAATCCTATCTTCTGTATCTGACATTCTATCCTCAGATTGGGTCATTCTTCTGTGTATACCTTCACTGGCATTTTAAATCTCCTAGATATCTGTTTAAATCTGTTCATGGATTCCATTTCTTTCTTATGGGCATTCATGATTTCCATCATTTTCTTAAGCTCTTCTATTATTTTTTAAATCTGTATCTGCTCTAGGGTCCCTAACTGTATCTTTCATTATGGTCACCATCTCTGTAGTTATCTGAGACTATTTCTGATTTGATTTTTTTCTAGAGCCTCGATCATCTGCTTCGTTACTTTTGCTGTTACCACTTCACAGAGTCCGGGTGGGTGGCTTTCAAACTGTTCTACCTCATTGCCCCCTGGGTTTGCCTTGGTGAGCTGGAAGACTGGGGTTGCATCTTGCTGAGGTGTCTTCTCATTTTCTTTCTTTTTTTTAAAGTTTAGTTTATGGGTGGGTGCTTGTAAATTGCTTATGGTAAGTAGCTTTATTGCTAGTATTTAGAACACATAAGAAATGACTAATTCTCAGAGATGTCTTCCAACTATAGCTGGCTTTTGGACTTTGAGCCTGTTACAAGATCCTTCCTCTTCAATTGCTTGGGGATGAGAATTGCTGCCTACTTGACCCAGCCCCTGGTTCTTTGGAACTGGCCTACAGTATTATTATTTATGACGCTTAGGCAATCTCAGTGTTGGCGTACCAGGAAGAACAACTGATTAGAACAATTATGTCACCTTGGCTAATGTAGTACAGTCAGTAATAATAATAACATCAAACACAGCCCAGAAAATGACAAACTGTGGTAACTATTGATTTGCCACCTTTAACCATATGAACTAAATTTGTGGTTATGTAACAAAATCGAAACAAACCAGAATCATTGTCATTCCTTGACGTGGAGTCTGGTTCTGTGCTGAGATTTTATTTAGAAATTTCACACCAGTCTCCCCTGCATTGCCTCTGTTAGGTTTATGGAGCACTGTTACACTTCAAAAAAGAATTAGGACGTTTACCTTCTTTTTTTTGGTACCGGAAATTGAACTCAGGACCTTGCACTTGCCAGGCAGGCACTTGTACTTCTGAGCTATATCTCCAGCCCCTACCTTCATTTTCAATTCTCTGGGAGAACATATGGAATATTTGAGACTTTGAGGGGTTTCACCTTTGAAGTTTTTGTTGAATTCTCTTGTAGAACTGTCTGGCCCTGTTTGGGGAGCTATTTAATAATGTTTTCTACATTTACTACAGATACAGGTCCGTTGAACTTTTCTAATGGGACCAGCTATTATTTTCTTAGTGAATCATCCATTTTATCCAGGTTTTCAAATTCATTTGTGTAGAGCTAGAGTAGCCTCTTATGATATTAAACTTTACTTCTGTTTCAATAGTTATTTCTCTTTGTCATTTCTTATTTCTCTTTTTCTTTGACAGCATTAGCTGGCTTTTTATCTTATTTTTTTGAGACAAAACTTTCATTTATTAATTAGATGTACAGTTTTTCTATTCTCTACTTCATCAGTTTTTGCTTTTAAAAAATTTCCTTCTTCATGCTTTCTTTAGGGGGAATTTATTGTTTCCCTTTTCCTTTATTTTACTGAACTTTGAGCTGGGATTTTTTCATTCATTGATCTTCATACTTTTATTTTTTATTGATAAAAGTTCTTAAGGCCTCTGTATTTCTCTCATCACTGTATTTAATGTGTCTCCAGATACTGTCATTATTCTTTAGACATTCAGTAATTTTGATTTCCAGTTCCTCTCAATCCAAGAGATAATAAAATAAAAAGTTTTCAAATTTCCAGGTTACATACTTGTATAAAATTCTTAATGGCTCCTACTTTTATTGAATTATGCCAAAAGGGTGCTATTATTATTATTATTATTATTATCATTACTGTTTCTATTATTATTGAGCATTCAACTTGTGATCAAATTTTTTTTTTCTGAGAGAGGGTCTCGCTACACAGTTCAGGCTGGCCTTGAGCTCACTTTGTAGCCCAGGCTGGCCTCGAACTCACATCGATCCTCCTGCTTCAGCCTCCCGAGTGCTGGGATTACAGGTGTGCCCAACCACGCCTGGCTAATTCTTGTGAATTTTCTGTTTGCTTGGGAAGGTATATTCTCTATTCTGTGAGTTAAAATTAAATATACATCCCTATGGTTTCCCTTTCTCTTCCATGAATAATAGCTCTTACAGTAATGACCAATCTTAAAGAATATGTTGGGAATATAAAATATTTCCCAACTTGTTTTTATCAGTGTGTTAGTTATACAGGATAATGGGTTTTCCTGTGACATGCTCATACGTGCTCACAATGCACTCTGGCCCTATCCTCCCCCATGCCTTCCCAATCCTGTCTTCATCTCGTTAGCAGCCCAGTTGCTTAGGTTTTTCATCTACTAGATCTTCATGCCTGAGAGAGACCTGCCGAAGTCTCCTATTATCAGTGCCTTGTTCTGCATTTCCCTGCGTCTCCTGTGGCTTTTGCACTGTCAGGCAGCGGCCACGCTATTATCGCCTGGGAAGCGCCGTCTTCGATAGATGACTGCGATGGTATTGATCATACTGACAGAACAGCTAAACCGTGGCTTGTCTGGCAGAACCACGTGTAGGCAGGTTGGCCATATCGATGCCTGTTAAGCATTTACAACCATGGTTACCACTCAGAGCCACCCCCCTCGTCAGACTGCTGCCTTGTCTAACTGGATCCCTGCACACTCAGTACCCAGCACAGCCCACGGGAGCACCGTAAATCCCCTGCTCTTTCAGTGTGGACTCAAATTCCACAGTTCAGATTCCTGACTGTGATTAGGCTTCATAGTCGAGGCTGGAAAGAGCCCAGGGCTTCGTAAGGTGCCAGTAACATGAACACCAAGCTCCTATTTACAAACTGTGCCAGCCTCTGCTCCGCCCCAGGATGGGGAACTTTTCCCCCAACTCACGGAGTTGCCACTGTAGCTTTCTCAGCCTTCAGCAGTGCTACTCCTGGGCTTTCCTGATTTTACAAACTCTGTAGTTGCCGTAAGCTATGCACTGATGTAGGAAAGTAGCATTTGGTGGACAAGAAGAGTTAGTGATTTGCTGGAGTGGTGTGGGTGTGAGCCTCATGAATTTTGAGCCCCCCCACCATCTTCTCTCCCTGCTCTGATTTTGCTGGACTTTGCAGAGAAGCCCAGGCCCAAGCATGGAAGCCCCAGTCACTGGGATGCAGGTGACCCTTTTATCCACAGGCTCCCCACACTCGTGACCTCATTTGATACCTGCTGCTCGAACTCTCCCCAATCTCCTCCTGGGCCGCTGGCCACTCGCCATGTGTCCCTGCTTCTCATCACGGCTACTTCCTTTGACAGGAGCGGGACCTGGTTGCTAGGGTAACCAGGTATGCAACAGAGGCCTTGGATCCTGACCTATAATTCCGCTTAGTTGGCTTCTCGCTAGGTTCCTGGCTCGCTTCCCTTTTGCAGCTGTGAGTACACACATCCGCCCTTCTGTCTGGCTTCCTCCTGGTTTTTTCTTCTCTTTCTCAGGCCTCATGCATGCTAAATACACACTCTTCCACCGAGTTGCCCCCCAAGCCCCTATAACTCTCCCTCACTGATGTTGTGACTTAACTGGGGATTTGGGAGGTGACACTGGGACCCCGTCCCAGCATTCCCCATCAGCTTTTCACTTAATAGTCTTGTCTGTGCAGAACCCCCGCCTAAGTCATTTATCTCTCCAGAGACTGCAGAACCATGTTTCTAATTTTGTCATCCTCTCAGCATTTATGGAATAGAATTATTCTGTTTAAAAATACCCAATTTTTTTTTTTTTTAATCATCAGTTATGGCAGCTTGTGCATCCTGAGACACAAGAGGGGTTGTGTTCCTATTTGTTGCCACAGTTCAACTTTTGTCACAGTTGCTTGCCAATTTTTCCGAGAAAGTACAGCCCCCTCACCCCACACTGCGGACTGCCCTGGTTATGTCTGTTTTTGTAGTTGTTGTTGTTTGTTTTCTTTTATTGTTTGCTTGTTTGAGATAGGAGCTCACCATGTAGTTCAGGGGGGCCTTGAACTCACTTTGTAGCCCACACTGGCCTCTTGCCTCAGCCTCCCGAGCGCTGTGATTACAGGTGTGTGCCGTGACGTCTGACTGTTAGTTACTTCTAGTAATGATCAATGTTCTTGATCGCTGTGCATTCTCTTATCTCCGCTCGTAATGAGTTTAACTGCCTGCTGGATGCTGGAAGGCTTTGGTGTGAAAGACTGAAATGCTCCCTTCCTGCCTTTGTATGCTTGTGAGTCGCTCACTTTATTCCTATTTGCTTATTTATTTAGGTTCTGGGAATTGAATCCAAGGCCTTTGCATGGAGCTGCGTCCCCAGTCCTTTTTTATTTTGAGACAGACTCTGGCTATGTTGCTGAATTGCCCCAACTAGGCTCTTACTCAGCATCCTAGAGTGCTAGGATTAGAGGTGTGCACCATCACACCTGGCTCCCTCTGGCACTGTTCAACCTCGGGTATATCTTGTTCTTTTGCTGTTGTCCTGGACAAGAGTAGCGGTGCATCCCAGCACCAGCCCTCTGACACCAGCTGCCTGTTCTGCAAGTCAGTGTGGGCTCCAGCTACCTGGAGTTGTGCAGACCCCACAGGTATAAGAGCAACAGTGCCATCAGCTCTGCGCTTGCATCAGACACTAGCCACAAGGGGGAGCCCCAGGCTACTTGCCCCTCTGTTTCACTTGGCTACAAATTTAGCATTTCCCATGAGGACTCTTCAAGTTTGATAACACCCTCGGATGACTCACAGAGCTCAGGAAAGAGCTGTGTTAACAATCACCATTTTATTGGAAAGGGTATGAGTGAGCAACACATGGGGGAAGAGATACGTAAAGTCCTGAGGAGCTTCTATCTCCATGGAGATGGGATGTGCTACCTTCCTGAAGAGATGCTGGAGAGTTTACCAACCAGGATGTTCCCAAACCAGAGTCATCATCCAGAGTCTTTCTCTCACTTTCTTTTCTTTCATTTTCTTTCTTACTTGGGGAATTGAGGCCTCATCATCCCAGCACGACTGACTAAATCACTGGCCATGACTGACCTCAGTCCCTAACCTCCTCTCTATCGCTTCTCGGCCTTTTGGCTAAGATCAAGTGCAGTATCTAACCTCCCTTTCCTCCCTGCAGATTTCAGGCAGGACTGAAGTCCCTGCCTTGAAATGCTCCCCGAACCCACACAGTTGCCTGGTTAGTTTCACTGTAGGGATGATCAAAAGGGGCTCATTATGAAGATAAGAAATACTTTGGCCAGGAAACGCCGTGGGTTTTAAGGCTCCGTGTTAGGAACCGGGCAGAAAGGCCAGGTATATTCTTTACTCTTATAGAAGCAGTGGAAATGACGCCCTACTGGGGGCTTACGAGGTAAAGGCACGCAGACCTTCAGGTGTCTTTGAAGATGGCCGCCGAGGAAGAAGCCTTTAGGTTCGGCAGGAAGATCCTGCTGGGTGGGGGCAGGGAGCAGGCTAATCTAGGCGAAGCGACCATTGGCACGCAAGCCTTTGGGGGCCTAAAGGCTGGGTCCTGGCTGGGTACTTCCTCATTGGCAGGGGGAGGAGCGTTTGCACACACAAGGGAAGAGAAGACGCAGGTGGCTGAGGAGATGGAAGATACTGAGAACAAGTTCAGAGTGGTGGGCGCCAACGTCCGAGTGAGGGCTTTGCTGGGGACCTTGGGGCAGCGGGGCGGGGTTCCTTTGTAAGACTTAAAGGAAAGGGCGGGGTGTCTGGAGAGACAGAGAACGGGGCGCAGAAATGGGTGCACGCAGAGCTGGAGCACAGCAGATGCTTCCGCGGGGCGTCTCCCACAGAACAGAGGCTCGCAGCGGGCTTTGCAGTCTTGGCTTCCAGAAGGGTCTGAGAAGCGAGGGAACGGGAGTCGGGAACAGCGGGGGATGGAGCCGGGCTCCCCTTTGTGAACGGATTCTTTGGGAGCAGTTGGCAGCCGCGGTCCGGATGTTTCTTCTAGCACTGCCATCCCAGGAAATGACTTCTGTCTGACAGCATCTCCCTGACCACTGGATGGATCCTAGCTCCACAGCTTCCCGGGGCTTGGATTGTCTGGAGAGAAACAAGGTTCCCCAGGCAGTGCTGACTGCAGGTGAAGAGAGTGCAGCCCCCTCACCCCACCCTGCGGACTGCATCTGGGAAGGAAGCTACAGCCAGAAACACTGTTTTGGAATTCTTTCAACAGTGCAGATCTTGATGAGTGGGCTGGGCCCAAAGCTGAAGGCAGAGGGGTTTCTCTGAAGTAGGGGTTCTCACCTGGGAACATTTTTGCTGCCCAAACTACATGCGACAATGCCTCAGGGTTGTTTTGTTGGTTGGTTCGTTTTGAATTGGGGGTTGAACCCCAAAATTTTAAAGCTCGAAACAGGGTCTCCCTTAGTTGAGCCAAACTTGTGATCCTTCTGCCTCATCCTCTCACTGAGACATTTTAATGGTCTCCGCTGGGGAGCAGCAGGGAGGCAGAGGCTTGGGATCAATATCCTACAATGCACAAGAACCCCTTCTAGACAAAGAAGGGCCTGGCCTCAAATGTCAGGAGGACGGAGGCTGAGAAAGCCTGCCTTAAAGAAAAAAGCTGGGAGTGGAGGTGAAGGGCCGAGGGCACCGCATGGGAATGTGTCGTGGTGGGGTGCACGGAGGCTGCCCTGGCAGGACAGGCAGCCTGGGCAGGGGCAGCAGGTACTCTGGAGCGAGTGACCCAACCCATATCCGTGGCGTTACCATCCCCTCTCTCCGGCCGCATGGCAATTCATCCGAGGAAGTGAAGCGTAAGAATTCATGGATGAAGCTTCTGAGAAAATCCCTGTGCTCTGGCCCTGGTCACCTTTTCCCTTTCTGTTTGTCCTGCCGGGTTGGTGACCCTACCGTCTGGAGGTGCAGCAGCCACTTTGAGACCATGAGTACTAAAATCAGCAACTAAAGAGAGTGAAGCCAAAGCCCACGGCCAGAAAGAGCCCCGTCTCCAACCCCAGGGGACACTGAGACCAAAGATGCCCCTCAGCACCATCACAGTGCCCGCCCCACACCCAGCAAAGCACAACCAGCCCTGTGTGTCATTAGTGCCACCGAGGCTGGGCACATCTGTCCCGGAGGAAGAACCACTTCACTGTAGCATGAGTCCTGGGTTCCCGGCCTCGGGATTACTATGACAGACTGGGAGAGGGGAGTGGTTGTTTCAACCCCAATCAGTTGGTTTTTTTTTTTTTTTTTTTTTTGGTGTTGTTCTTTGTGGCTGAATTATTCAGTGTGGTCGCAGCAGGAGAAATTCTCGGATTCAAGCCCGCTACAAAGCTGCAGTCTCCAGATGACGCCTCTTTTACAGGACACTTACGGGTACTTTCCACGGCTGGATAGGGCTGCCCCTGCCATCTCTGAAGCAGAGGGAGGAAAACCACTCCTTCGCTTCTTTTGCCAGAAGATGCCAACACCAGCGGTCTCCACCACCCACATCACCAGTGGGTTCGGCTGGATCCAAGATCACAGGCCTAAAAGTGGGGTTGGAAGGAATTAGAGTTTCTTTCAAATGTATGGCTTCAGCAAGAAAACAATGTGTCCTTACATCTTAGTGATCACTAATTCAAGTATCTGTTTCAAAGTTTTGAAAGCTATTACTCTACACAGGAAAGCATCATGTAACTCTGGCCTCCGTGCTAGGTTCCCTGAGCTGTAACGGATCTTTCATCAAATACAACGCTGCCAAGTAGGTCCCAGCCTGCGGCAGGCTCCCAGGGCTCTTCCTCATCTCTGTGCTCTCCCACACTCTTCCTCACTCTCTCTGCTTTCCTCCTGCTTCCAGGTTTTGCTCCCTGCTGGTGCTGCTCAGCATATGTGCTGAGATCCCTTACTGTTCTGGAAGGTCTAAGAGGGTAGATGAAACCTGACCTAAGCCAAGGGTGACTGCACATCTTCCAGCACTCTGGGAGGCTGAGCCACGAGGATCATAAGTTTAAACCCAGTCTGGGCAACTTAGGGTCTTAGCAAGACTCTGTCTAAAAATAAAATATTAAGAAAAAAGGCCTAGGGACTCAGTGTGAAGGCTCTGGGTTCAGTTTCTAGTACCGTAAGTCCCTGACTTACGACCATTTGAGTTGCGAACTTTCACAGATCCGAACGGACCTCACATTATGCACACTCCTGCATGTAAACAGATCTCAGGAGTAGCTGTATAGCTTTACTGTACTGTACCACCATTTTAAGGTAACTGTAAAAGTAAAAATAGTTTATTTATAGCCTTTGTGCGTGTTTTATGCTGTACATTGTATTTTTATGTCAAAGGCATATGCGACTCACTTTGCTGGAGTTACACAGGAGTCTGACTTGTGAACAGTCTCCTGGGATGGAATTCATTCATACATTGGGGACTTACAAGGGCTGGGGATTTAGCTCAGTGGCAAAAGCGCCTGCCTGGCAAGCGCAAGGTCGTGAGTTCGGTTCCCGGTACCGGAGAAAAACCAAAAAAAAAAAAAAAAAAACCAAAAAAACAAACATTGGGGACTTACAGTACCGCCAAAAGCAAACCAAAGCAAACCAAATGAAACCGAACCAAACTTGAGCTAATAAGAACGCTAATAATAAGTCAGCCCATGAATGGTAATGATAGTATCTTTACTCGGGGAGTTTCTTAGACCCTCCTCTCTTCCTTCTGGACAGCACTTCCTCCACTCCCTCGGATTTGTCCCTGGAGACACTGAACAGTTCTGTTGCTAGCACTGCCCGGACCCCAGCTTCACATAAGGTGTGACTCAGGACCCAAGAGGGAGAATTCTGGTCATCCAACCAGCGTGGAAGGAATCAGGCTCAGTAAGAAGAGAGGGCTGGATCAGAGCACCTGGTCCTCTGGATCTGGGTCAGCAGGAACTTCCTTGTTGTCTCATCTTCGAAGTTGTAATTGACGGTCCAGTAGATGCAGAGCTGCTGATATTTTGTGACCAGCTCCAGGACCGTCCGGAAACCTTCAGCTGTGTTAAAATCATTCATCCCGCTGCCCTGCTCCCAGGCATAGATGGTGAGCAGCTCCAGGGCGTATTTTGGGGGCAGCGATCCCTTTGGCTTCATTTTCCTTTCACACTGAGGAAAGAGTGGGCATCAGATGGCCTCAGGAAGGGAGGTGACAGAGGAAGAACTGATCCTGTACTTGTTGTAATCATGAGACTCAGGAACAACCTCGTGTGCAAGTCAGCTGAAGCAACGCAGGGGCTCCCACACGGTGATGCTGCCACGGCCCACCCGTGCTCGGCCTGACTTCCGGGAGACAGCAGGGGGTCTGTTCACTAAGAGCAATCACTGGGCAGCCCATCCAAGCACCCCGACTCCCATCCACCCTTTAGAGCAGCAAGGTTTGGATTCCCGCTGAACTCTTGGGCAAAATAAGCTACATGTAGCAGATTTGATGGTAGCAGGTACTGAACGCCTGACCCAAATAAACAGGGTTGGTGGTGGGAGCTCTACAAAGTATACAAGGTTGAAAGTTTGCAGGTTCCCTAAAGTGGCCCAACCTGCAGCTTGAGAGAATTTGGGCATGAAGGGCATGTGATAAATGCTGGCTTTGTGGTGACCTCTTACCGGTAACTATAACAACCAGGTGGCCATACCTGTTTATACCAGTGTTTTACCAGGCGAATCAAGTCCTTCAGTTTGGTGGGCCGAGAAATAATGAAATCACGCTGGAGCTCTGTAAAACAGGTGGAGAACTCTCCCCCAGCGATGTCTGAAGATTCGTAGAGATTGATGAGCTCTGCATAGGCTCGAAGGGTGCACTTCCCTTGACCTGGCATGGAGGGAAATATTTACATTGCATCCTAATAGGTATGGTCATTAACAAGTTTTGAAACATGCTTGGCAAATATAATTTAATTTCGGGATATTTATTGGGACCACACTTGTATACTTGAATTTCTAATGCCTAAGATATGGGAATCATCTTCAGAGCCATAAGATTTTTTTGAAAAAGCATACGGTCTATGTGAACACGGGTGCTGCTGTTAAAGTAGGTTTGTGTGATATGATAGCTAGCTTCCGTCATGGTGGCTGTTTGCATTTGAGTCCATTAAAAGGAAATAAGATTAAGATCTCATTCCTCAGTTGCACCAGTCATCTGTCATGCTCTCAGCAGATGCAGAACACAGATACGGAAGATTTTCACTATTGCAGAAAGACCTCCTGAGTGTCCATCGCTCCCGCTCACAAACTATGGCCCTGGGCCAAATCTGGTTCCCTGCTTATTTTAGTCAATAAAGTTTTATTGGCACCCAGCCACACCATTTGTTAATGTGCTGTGTAGGGCTCATCACCCATAGTGGTAGTTGAGCCATTGTGACAAATACCATATTGTCCTTGATGCCGAGAATATTTGCTGTCTTTCCCTTTACTGAAAGCACTTGCTGACTTTCATTGTCTGCTATTCTTCCTTGGCTGAGGGTCACTATGGACCAGGCACAGGGAAGGGCCTGGGGTCTTCATGACTGTGATTTAGAAACGCCTCTCTGATTGCTTTCATTTCTTTTAATACGCCATTATGTACCTGTCATCCACAAACTGCGTTTCTAAAGAGTTTGCTAAGATTGAAGGTGAACGCCCAGCTTTCCTGTGTTTTTGCTTCACAATGCTTCCCACATCTGTTCTTTCACTTCCTTCCCCATTACTTGAAGATTTCGTCTACAAATGCTATGGCGTTCTTCTGTCCCCCATTCTGACACGCTGTGGATGACACTGGGGGGGGGATGGGAATGAGAGATGGGCCCTGGTTGCCATGGGATCCTTAACCGAGGGACAAGAGTGAGCTCGGGCACAGGTGCACGGGATCACCACCCTTACGGATGCTCCCACAGGGCTCTGGACCCACGGCAAGCACGCGCTGGCCCCCGGCTTTCCCTGAGCCCCAGCTGTCCTTCCCCCCGCCCCCCACCTCCCTCCCCCAGAGCCAGGGCCCGGGGTGCCTCACCCAGCGCATTGTAGGCAGGCAGCACGTCGAAGTCCACACTTTCACTGAGGTCTTTGGATTTCAGCGAGAAGCTCAGCACCCTGGGAGCCGTCCATTTGGAAATCTCAAACTTCACTTCGAACTCCCTCTGCTGCTGGCAGGCCTCCAGCTGCTTGCGGATTTCCTGGATGACCTCGCTCCGATAGGTTCTTTGGGAGGGGAAGCTGTTCAGTGAGTTCAGGAACACGACGATGTCGGCGTCGGAGCCGGTCTTCAGCGCTGTGCCTTTGGCAGAGGACCCTCCCTGGGGGGACAGGGAGGTGGAGTCACAGCATGTCCCGCCCCTCTCCAGCCCCCGGGGGCTGCACCGCAGGAGCTCGTTCACGGGGACCTGGGGACAGACCCTGCCCAGGGTTCAGCCAGGGATCAAGCGATGAGAAATGTTTCACTGTACAGACTCACAGATAGTGTGTTTCAAAGGCGATTCATAAATGTTCCACTTCTCAAGTCAATTTCCTAAAGATTTTTCCTACGGAAATCAGCTTTCTGTGAATCTCCTTCACCTAAAAGAAATCCACCTGACTGCACTGAAAGTTCTACTCTGTTGCCTGACATATTGGTCTCTTCCTGCAGTCTGCAGAGTGCTAACGGGGGCGCAGAAGTCCCCAGACTATCTGTGAAAGGCCAGACTGTACATGTTTTAGATTTTGTGGGCTGCTGAGATCTCTGCTACATAGGCTCTGCTGACTCCATCCTCCTCCCTCTTTCCTCCTCTTTCCATTTCTGTAGAGAGAATGTAGAGGCCTGGCTGCCGGGCGAGGGGGGCTGAGAGGAAGCTAGTCCCACCTCCCGTGTAGGGACCCTCCTAGGTTCCTACCCAGCCCACCTCACACATGCGGCCCGCCTGTGAACACCACTGGGTGCTGTTGGCCTCTCCCTGGCTGCACCCCTCTTTCTCTAGGGGCCCCTCCCTCTCCTCCTCAGCAGAGAGCCTTTCCTCCTTGCACCCAACTTTGCAAAGATAGGCAGTCATTTCTTAGCTGCCAGATGGCTGTCTTCCTCCTCCCTGAAGTTGTTACAGATCTCGATGTCTCCCAAGAGCCGGCGTGCTCCTAGGCCTGACCTTTTGGAAGGTGACTGGGTCATGGGGCTTAGAGCTGGGTCGCTGTCAGGAGGTGGTCACAGGGGGCGTGGCCTGGAAGGATTTCTGTCCTCCCCAGCAGCCCCTTTCCAAAATCTGCTTCCTGGATGCCAGGAGGCGAGCAGCTTCCCCCGCCAGGCCCCTCTGTCTCGGCTTCCTGCCTCGGAGCCAGCCAGTTATGGACCGAAGTCCTCTGGCCCGTGAGTCAAATAAACCACTCTTCCCCTCAGGTGCAGGTTTTGGGTATTTTCTCCCAGTAAGGAAAAAAGTGACGAAGACAGAGCTTCCCTCCCTTGTTTACTGTGATATTAATGGGGTGTCAGAAAGGAGAGGAGAAAAGGTGCTTCCACAAATGTTTTCTTCCTTCACTTCCTGTGGTGCTGGGGATAGAACCCAGAGCCTCGTGTGTGCGAGGCAAGTGCTCTACCACTGAGCTAGAGCTCAGGCCTTTTTATTTTACTTTGAGGTAAGCTCTTGCTAAGTTGCCTGGGCTGAGCTTGAATTTGTGACCTTCCTGCCTCAGCCTCCTGAGCAGATGGGATTACAGACATGTTCCATTGTGCCCAGCATGTTTCCAAAATTGCAGCATTGATCATGAACTCAGTTTTGTTCTCACTACAGTTAAGCTTTATGAGGCCGTTTACTCACCACTCATGGGACACTTGCTGTTTCCCAGACCCCTCTCAGGGCACCACCCATACGGATCTGCACACGGGTCTGCACACGGCATGCACATGGGTCTGCACACGGCACTCACATGGGTCTGCACCAGCATGCACATGGGTCTGCACACAGCACACACATGGAGCTGCACAAGCACACACATGGGTCTGCACACGGCTTGCACATGGATCTGCACATGGCACACACATGATCTGTACATGGCATGCACATGGATTTGCACATGGCTTGCACATGGATCTGCACATGGCACACACATGATCTGCACATGGCATGCACATGGATTTGCACACGGCTTGCATGTGGATCTGCACTTGGCACACACATGGGTCTGCACATGGCACGCACATGGATCTGCACACAGCTTGCACATGGATCTGCACAGAGCATGCGTGTGGATCCAGAGGGCTGCACTTCAGATGTTCTTACACACACATGAACACTGTCCTCTTTTCTTCTGTGACCTTCTTGTGCATGCCATGTGCAGATCTGCGTGCACAACCTCATCTACTCCTATGACCACACACAGAAGGAAGCGTGTCGGCCCTGGCCTTGGAGCCATTGACAGGCGTGACCCAGTGCTGCGAATGTGGCTTGGCTGATGGGCTGCCCTGGGCCCCATCACTGAAAGAGAGGGGTCCTTTCTGCTTGAGCACGTGTCCGGCTTAGGCCGGATGGTGAGCCCCACAGGATGAGTCTGTTAGGAACTTGTGAATGTGACCTCATGTGGAAAGAGGATCTTTGCAGGTGCGGTTAAGTTGAGGATCTTGAGATCCCTCTGGATTAAGGTAAGACCCGAAATCTAAGGAAAGGTGTCTTTATATTATAGACAGCCACGTTATTCAGAAATATTGTAGGCAGTCAGCCAGGGCTGGGCCTGGAGAGGTCACTGCAGAAGGCCACTGTGGCTGGAGGTGCCTTTGCTTAAGGCCACACTTCAGGAAAGAGAACTCCTCACCCATCGACTTCCCCTAGGGATGAAGAGAATATTCATAGGGATCAATGGGGATCAATACCAAGGATCAGTCACCTTGGCAGAGGACCGAAGGTCCTTGAACCACCCCTTCCAGGACAGCCCTTGTCCGTCCCATGTTCGTTTGCTCTGTGATTTGCTTCCCCATTTGAGCCCCATTTAATCATTATTACCTAAGCGCCTACACTGGTTGTAATCTTGTTGGTTCACCATAGTTTTGTCACACCTCACACCCACCTTATGGCTTCCCATTGGATCAATATTACCTACCTGACAATACTTGCAATTCTATTAGTTGACTATAGTTTGTCCCACCTTGAACCCACCTCACCTCATGGTTTTGCTCAATAAAATACCTTTGAGATGCAGGATTGGTGAGCAACCTGCCTTCCAGGCCCCCCTTCTGTCCCTCTTAGAAGCTGTCTTTCTCTCAATAAATTCTTTCCAGTCCTAACCTCCGTTGCTCTTAGAATTCATTCCTCAATTTTAGGGAACACAAACTTGGGGTTTTGGACAAGTCCCAGATTGGGAATTACAAATTTCCCTTATGTGATTTGGATTAATTGGTGGCCATATATGGCCATATATCATATGCCCTATATGACAGGAGAAAAGAGGAGAAAGACCCATGAAGGAGAAGGTGATTCAAAGACAGAGGCAGAGACCGGAAAGAGGCATCAACACGCCCCACAGCACCAAGGACGACCAGCAGTCCAGGAAACGGGTCATTAGGGACAGAGGTGGCTCAAGCACAGCCCCCCTGAAGACCAGTGTCCTCACCACCATCGCTTCTTGCTCCCCTTCCTCAAGGTTCTGGGGGTGACCACCCAGCTCCCCTCCAGCAGTGCCTTGGGGAGAAGGGCCATGCTCACCTTGACGGTACTTTGGACTTTGGTAATTGAATGTCGAAAACAATTTTCTTTGAGGAACGAGCAGATGATGTCAACAGCTTTCCTGATCTGCTCCAGGAAGTCCTTGTTGGGCTGGAGAAAGTCCTTGATGAACTTGTCCAGCAAGTGGCCTGGGGTCATGAAGAGAGGCGCTGCCTGGGGAAGGACAGACAGCCACAGTGAGCCTCCCTAGAGGCCCCCTGGGGCTCCCTCTGCTGCCTGCCCTGGCCCGCTGCTGGCCTCTCTCTCTTGCTCCCCAGCCCTGGGCAGGCAATTGCTCCAGCCTTAGTCCTTGCAGCAATAGAGCCCAACAGCAATCTGAGTTTTGGGTGGTACCCAATAGCCCCCCAAAATGAAAACCCCTAACTCCTCTCTGTGCTGCCCAGAGAGGACCAGGGATGAGGAGGTGGCCCTCGATTACCTAGATGGCCCTGGGGTCCTCTTGGGTCAGGAGGCTTAGAGGGGAGGAGATGACGTGGGGATGGAGGTGGGGGAGAGAGACTGGACGACACGTCTCTGACTTTGGGAGTGGCAGATGGTGCTGCAAGCCATGAAAACCAGTAAAAACATTGCTTAAGTTAATTAAAACTTCTACCAGTTAAAGTAATTAAATTTTTTTACGTGTGTGTTTTGCATAGATCCACATATGTATACATACATACATACATATGTGGTGTGGCAGCCGCAGGAAGTCAGAAAAGGCAGAGACAGACTTCCCCAGAGCTGCTGAGCCTGGATTCCAGGACAAGACTGATTTTGGACTGCATCTCCAGAACCATAAGATGGTGCACGGACTGCATCGCCAGAACCATAAGATGGTGCATGGACTGCATCTCCAGAACCATAAGATGG